CTGCTGCTTCAGTTTTGTATGATGGCAATTAACATACACTCCAGAATGTTATGAAGAATGGGCAGATGAATGGAGACTTTGTGAAAATTAATGTGTGTGTCATTCTCAAAACTTTTGGCCAGGACTGTATTTTGATAGGCAGTAGAAGGTCAAGGGGAATTTTAAGTTTGACATATATTTTGAAGCTGAATGTGTTTTGTGCTATGGATGTGTTAGTGGGGATAAAAGAGCCTTATGCTTATGAGCATTTAAATCAGGTATGCCAAGCTCCAATAAAACCTAGCACCCAACTAAGTATGGGAACTGTGTAAAGGGCCATATGCACTAAGGTACAAAAATATTGCAGAATTCATGGATTTGCATATAATTTATAAATAGAATTTTCTCTGGTGTTTTTAAGACCTACCAATGTCTGATTAATCTTCACATCTGACATTTGCAGGGTTTTGGGTACCTGGTTTCCATCTGTGAATTGTGGTTCATTCTCCCAACCTCATTAGCACTATAGGACACAGTAGTGGCAGAGGAATCCCCGATGTTTTAGTTTATTTTTTTGACAGCAGCTGCTGTCAGAGTAAAAAAAAACAAAAAACCAGATAGCATGGGAATGAATAACTAGGCTACTATTGGCTATTTCAAATTTGAATAGCCAATAGCAGGCTGGCTATCGCACCTGCCCACTGCTGCTGTCAATCAGCAGTGGAGGACCTGAAGGAGAACTTCAGGTCAAAATACTCGAGCAGGGCCAGCAGCTCAATGACTGCCGGCTTCTGACCCGCTCCTTTGATCAGCTTATCGAGGGATGCTGGCCAGAGAGCAGCACCCACTGTGAGAATTTTGTCCGCTTCATCAAGAACCAGTTGAATTTTGCAGTGTTTATTATACGTAATTTCGTTCACTTCGACTGATAATTAAAACTGTAAATATCGGTAACGATTATCGGTATATCCGATAATCGGTCAACCCCTAGTGAATACCCGACTTAACCCCTTAGGGGGAAGAGAAACTGTGCAATGGATACACTGAAACTCTTAATACGTGACCTTGACGTTTCAAATCCCAAAGACAAAAATGTAACCAATGGCATTCTGCTGTGCAGTAAGATGTGGAGAGGAACCAGTTTTAGTTGGTTTCTTTGGGAAGCCAAAACATTAGGGAAATAAACATGTTGAGTTGTGTTACATGCCAAATATGTAAGTACATGCAACACTAACATGAAAAACACGTTTTTATTCCTTACACTACCAAGTTATTTAAATTGTATTTCCACTTTTGTAGTAAAACTTGAGAAAACCCCCCACTGTTTGTGTCCTAATTCACTCAACATATCTAAAAACATATATTTTTAAATATTACCCTTTAGATGCGTCTGTGTAGCTGGCCTTTGCAAGCTTCTCTCTCAAATTTCAGTAACAGCAAACTAGGGATGCACCGATACTAGTATCGGTGACGATGCCGAGTATTTGGGCAAGTACTCGTACTCGCCCAAATGCTCCGATGCCTGGCCCGATACTTTAGCTTCCAGTATCTGGAAGACGTGCAGCGAGTCATTATACGCTGCCCGGCTTCCTGCTTGGCCGGGAAGCCAGCTCCATGCTCACTCATCGCCTGATGACGAGGGAGCATGGAGGCGGCTTCCAAACCAATGAGGAAGCCGGGCAACACGTCATTACACGGCTGCCAGGCTTCCTGATAGGCCAGAAAGCCGGCTTCATGCTTGCTCGTCACCTGGTGACGAGGGAGCATGGAGACGGCTTCCCTGGTAAATCGGGAAGCCGGGTGGCGAGTCATTACACGCTGCCTGGCTTCCTTAATGGGACTTCCGGTAACAGTATCGGTGAGTACCGAACAAAAAAAATTATCCGTGCTCGTACTACAGCAAACTAACTGTTCCCATAGAAAGACTAGGGACACACTGAGCTCCTCCTCATTGACATACAATGCTTCTAGAGCTTTAACACTGTTAGGGCAGATGTTCAAATCTAGTTTACAACGCATAATAAGATCTGCCAGAGCAGTACAGAAAAGGTAAATTATGTTAACATTAATCACGCCACCCCCTTGTAGACTGGAGGTAAAATTCCAAACAAACAACAACTTTTCCTCAGAATTGAGCATGTTTTGTGCAAGCAGCAATTATACTATGCTTTGTGATAAACATGTAACATATATAAAATTGGTGTTATCCTAATCTGGCTGCAAAAGTGGAAATACACTTTAAGGCCCAAATCAGTTTAAGGGCTTTAACTGGTCAAGAACCAGAAAGAAGGGGTGGAAGAGCTACAAACAGCCCCAAAACATACTAGCCTGGCATGACTAATTTAAACTGTAGGTAATGTACTTTAAGACAAGAATATACAGTATAAGGTTTAGAGCCAAGTGAGCTATGACATGAAAATAGAAAAGCAATGCTTAGGAAACCTCAACTTTTGTTAAACATACAAGCATATGTAATTGCTACACACGCCAATTTGTAATGAAATAGTACTAAAAACTCCCATTTTCTAAAAATGTAAATTCAAATGTTTTGTTGTAATCATAGAGGGAAATTACATTTTTGGGGGACTTCTGTATTAAAACTCCCCAGAATCGTCATTTCATGTTCCAGTGAATTGATCACTGCCTCTTACAACACAGACTGATTATGTGATTAAAGCAGGTACAAGGAAGTGTGAAGTGAATGGAATGCAAGTTTTAACGAAACAGCGACAGGTAAGGTGGCAATGAAGTCTGATAGAACCTTTGCAATGTATCTAATAGGCCTCAAGATGTTTTTTTTCTCCAAACAAAAATTTGGAGTTACACTTTAAAGGGAGTGGGCGATAACCAAGTGAAATATATACTGTTCTGTCAGCACTTGTCAAAAATACATATACTGTATATGCATGAAAAACTATAGAGTAAGAAGTAGAGCGCCAAAAATTTTTTTTAAAAATGTACCGATACATTGGACCATGCAAGATAAAACAAATTAAACTGTAAAATCTAAATACTGCAGAGGCAGCCATTGTGCTGTCTGTCCCAATATTCATCCAGCTGGTTTTCTTGGAACTAGCAGGCATTAGACTATAAAACAGTCCATTTGGATTTACAAAATGGTCTACTCCATTTATGCTTTTCAGGAGCTTGAGGCTGTTCAGCATCCAGCCAAATTCCAGAATGCCACAAGGAATGCTCTAGAGGGATGAGGTATAAAAAGTGAAAAACTGACTGCAACCAATCAGAAACCATGTTTCATTTTTAGAACTGGAGTGCAAAAATATTTATCACACTTTTCATAAATCAGTCCCCTTGTGTTTAACAGAAATATGAGAATTTGAAACGCATTGTGTCCAATATAAGTTCAAAACAAAAAAATTGTGCCATTCTACAGAAACCGATTAAAACATTTTGGCCAAAAATGTAGGCCTTATATTGTCCCGTCCACTGTGCATTTTTACATAAATTGATCTAGAATTATTATGGATTCACTAAGTTTATTAATACAATAACAAATTCTTGCACTATTCCACATTTTTAAGACAATCTTGTATAAAAATAAAGAAAAGAAGAGTTATCTGAGCAAGGTAACAAGCCCACTTTAACAAAGGCACCTGCAGTAACACTGGGTGCACCATTTTAAGGTTGATGACATTTTATTTTACCAAACTCATATGCTACAGTTACACTTTCTAGCTTAAATTTATGTTTAAAAATTAAAAAAAATTTATGTTTAAAAATGTTTGCACTTCAAGTGGATAAGAGTGTCTACAATTCCACTGGAGGCCAGTCATAATGATGACCATTGACTGTCTTATTGCACCATAAAATCAATGTTGTCAAAAGTCCATGGAAAAGCTTTCAAAGTTCAGCTGAAGGGATCACAGTGGTTAAAATACAGGTTGACTTAAAAGAGCAAAGTAAGAAATATTATACATAAGCACATGTTGCTACGCCTTAAATCTACTTAGGGCAAAATTTGGTAGCAAACATAGCAAATTATGTACACTTGGTATTTCTTGTGCTGGAAGTTAAAAAAGCAAAACTGTCTGTATAGATTGACAGTCAGAGCAATGGGCAACATGGGTGTGTGGGTCCATTGAACACATTTATGATCTTACTGCTTGGGAGATCAGCAACAGTCACAGTGAACATGGGAATGCAGTCACACACCAGTTATGGTGGCTTATCACTGGGAAATTGGCGACAAAGACTTCTAATTTGATTGCTCTTTCCCTATATCTGTTGGCCAGGTGCATTAGCTGGTACACACACTTGTAAAGGTGCCCATACACTGCACGATTATCGTACGATAATCGTATGCGATCGGTTTTTCGTACGATAATCGAGCAGTGTGAACGGAGACGTGCGACCGTTTCTACTGTACGGTCGCACGTCTTCTGTCGAACCAGCATGTTCGAAAACCAGCCGGGAATCGTACGATTCTCGGCTGGTTAGAACGGTGCTCGGAAGATAAATGCTGAACGGGCCGGTGTGCGCACGCGCACACTGCCCGTTCAGCATTGCGGTCATCGGAAGCCCGCCCCTCAGGGGGGCGGGCTTGCGATGATCGAGAGTGCGATCTGCCTGTCCAAGATAGGCAGATCGTACGTTTTTTTAATCCCTTTACAACCATCGCAAGACTAAAGTCTTGCGATGGTTGTAGAGTGTATGGCCACCTTAAGACAACGGCCCAATCTGTCTGAAATCACTTGGATCGGGAATCGATCAACATTGTCTATGGCCAAATAGGTGATTTAGCTACAATATTCTCTGGGTCTGTCTGATCTATTAATTTTGGTGGTTTGTCTGGAGGTCTCTGAGGATATTCTAACAAACTAAGCAATGAAAACAAAAAGGCAGACTGGTAATTTTAAGAAACAATTACGTACAACTGTGACCGTAACATTGCTAAATATTTAGGTCAACTTGTTTTTTAGTTTGCGATCCCTTCCAACTCCGTTCTCCTTAAGTAAGCACCAGTTCAACTATTTTTATTTTTTTTGTCATTTAAATGTTTCTTCTATTGCGGTAGCATATTATAGACTTTAGCTTAATAAAAAGGCAACAGATTTATTCTCCACGCCATGATGTAAAATACAAGTTGTCCAACTCAGTGTTTTGTGGGAAATCTAGGATTTGATGTAGTGAAAAAACAGCTTTAGTTGAACACGTTAACTATTGTATTTGTCAATATTTTTTTATTATTTTTTTAAGCCATATAGACACCTCATTTTCTGCTACAAAATAACACGGAGCTACGAGCATTAGTACAATTAGTGTTAGCATTCGTAAGAACATGCAGTATAGGGATTCTGCTTCATCGTTCCACAGAATGTCTTCTGTATAGGCAGAAGAGAATAGACAGATACACTTAAAGATTGAAGTGTCATACTTGATTATTTTCTAAATACAGGTACATGTGCTTTTTATTTAATTGATACATTTTGAGCATATTCTAAGTCTATGAGGTGATAACCTGGAAGGTAAAGACAGGACAATAAGAAATGTTGCTTTTTTATTATTTTGACTTAATGGGCTCCCTCTCTAGCCACCGCACTCTGACCTTTTGCTTATAGTGATATTCTTTAAGGAAGTCTTGTAACATGGATGGCAGAGGAAGTAGATCAATGCCATCATAGGTGGTGGACTTACAAATGACTGCTCTGCATATGTACTGCAAGCTAAAAGGGAAAGTTCTGTTTAAAGGTGCAGTCAGCAAGGGCTCAAAAAACATGCATGAGCTGGGATCTTTATAGTGTTCTAAGAGTCCAGTAACAGTGGAGGAGTGAAACACACAAGGGTCATGAGCGTCAAAGCTGAAGTTATGATTCCACTGCTCAATGCGTGCATGCAAAGATCGGTTGTAGCGGCGGAAGCTCACGGAGAATAGGTAGTCCTCTTGTGCAGAATCCCTGAGCAAAAAAGTGCCTTCTGGCCGGCCTTCCAACAAGGCCTCTGCCTCATAGCGATCCATAACCCCCCAATAGCATGGGTTGCTTGTGATTTCCACTAGATCTGGCACAAGGCAGTGAATATAATCAATCTGGGTGTGCACTTTCCAGGCTCCCTGTCTACTCGTTTGCATATGGCTGTCTCCAGAAAACTGGCGCTGCTTCTGTCGCCGTGACTGCAGGCAGAGAGTTGTACCATCTTCTTCAGACTCGCACCCGCCTTGTGATGCAGCACTGTTGTCACCTGACATGTCAGTCATGCCAGGAGCAAGTTTTGGTCCAAGCTTATATACAGGGTTGACTTGTGCTGTTGCTTCAAAAGTGTGGATTTGGGCATTCGGTGGAGGGTCAACACCCTCCTCAATACTAAGCCTACGCCTCTCACGTAATCTATCTTCTTCATCTTCAGCAGAAAGCAAAGACTGCTCAAAATTGTCCAGTATGCTTGAATGTGGACTGACAGGTGCTGTATGCTGTTTAATCAGGTGCCATTTTTGGGCCAGATCAGATCCAGCAGGAAAGGGGCATTTTTCAAGCATCAGTTCAGAGAGATGAATTTTCCTCTTAGTAGTGAAAAGTGGCTTTGACTGCCTATTATATGCTCTAATCGGAAAACACAAACCCACAGTCTCATTCAGCCTTTGTCGTAAACTGCGACTTCCAACAACCCTGCTTGAAACAGCCTCCATATCGTGAACAGATCCAACCACGTGACGTCTTTCCCTCCTCTGAAGCCCATTCCTTTGCCTACCAATTTTCTTTTCTGGATCAACAGAGTTCTGAGTTTTGGTGGAGCATGAATGCTTCTTTTTGCCACCCCATGGGGCATGGCGAGTATACGAGTCTCTGCGTGCCAGACGGGCACCTGCACTTAGACCCATGTCACTGTCTTTTTCAATACTAATTTCGACTAACTGTGGCATTTCAGAAACACAGTTTGGATTCCTCCTACTAGAACCACTGCAAGGACTCAGGTTGAGTTCAGAAGAAATATTTTGGTGTAGGGGACTAGCTGACTGCATGGAGGCCGGACCAGCGGAACCTTCTGCTTTATCCCGACCAGTCAAACATCTGTTGGCATTCACATCCACAATGTCGTTCTGGTTCCCCTCATCCTCATGGCTAAAGAGATTCTGGCACCGATATTTAAATGTGTTCCACATTTTTCCAACTTTATCCATTGATCAACTGACCTGCAATTACACAAAGAAGGGATCAGACACGGAATCAAAAGTAAGAAACAAAATAAGCAAGAGATGGAATCACAACAATAAATAGCAGCATGGTTTGCCTAATCTGGGAACATTTCACTGAGAAATGTTTAACTGAGCGTAATCAGTAATAATAAGCACCTACATCTAACCACCAGTCTTTTCCTCCAGCAGTATTTGTGGGGCACTGGTAAACCATTCAAATCCCACCTTTGCATTTTGCCAGACATGCAACACAAGCAAGGTAGAATTATAATCAACTTTATCATCAGTATCTTGTTCCTTTACATCAGACACCAAGTATCCACTGTGACACACTATTTTCAGTCACATAAGTTATCACTTGGACCTACTACCACAGAATGTTGGGCCTGTACATGCGCACCAAGCTGGGTGCTTCCATCTCCAGACTTTTTTTTTTTTATACAGGAACATGTTTTTAATGAAAAATGAATGCATTTGAATACATTGATTTTGTTTGTAGCAGAATTGTAGCAGCACTGCACCCCCTGGGCCCATTTAGATGTCCCTTTCTGATAATATGGAATTCAACACTGATCCAAGAAAACCTAACTTGCTGCTAAAGTGAGAAAAAAAAAATCCCTCAAGCAGCTTCCTGCAATAGAAGGGTAATCTAGTTACTTCTCCAGTAGCCTGTTTCTCCTGTCTTCATTCCACTTAAGTGCTGTAGCCTTCATAAGACTCTTCAGAATATGCAGGATGTCTGTGTTCCCATCTACACACTGCCCCCTAGGTGGCTGCTGTGTCCTGTGGTGATGCAGAGGCCAGAGAATGAAAACACAGCATACGGCAAGGGACACAGGCATCAAGCACTCCTGAAGAAAGGAGACAGCCTGCCAGAGACTCAAGTATAATACCTCTTCTACTACAGGGAATTGCCTCAGGGAATTTTTGCAGATGGGGCGAAGACAGTGTCGCTTTATAAAAGAAAACTGGAAAAAAGTCTGCTTTAAAAGAAACACTGTTGGATGATGTGCGAATTTTCTACAAGGAGAAAAACATTAAAACTACGAGTATCAGCAGGGGTAAACATTAAAATTAAGGTTAGATGAAGAGGCAACCAAATATGGAGGGGAGACGAAGTTTCCATTTGGGGCTGGTGGACTTTGGGAGAGTGTAAGCGGCTTTCTAGAGATGGATATATTTTACATGAAAATGCAATTTGTAAAAAACTGGAATTGTAAGCGTTTAACCGTTTTAATAAAGCTTTTAAAAAAGGATTTTATGCTATGTTGGTTCTCTATCTTCCTTCATAAGTAAAACAAAAAAAATTCAGATTGAGCTTTGGTCAGATATTACTACTTGAGACTCAGGACCACATTTCACTTAAGAAAGCACATTTCACTTAAGAAATATGGAAACCTGCCATGAGCCAAAAAGGGAGGGCGCCTAGCGCCCCAAGGCAGGGCAAGTATTTACTAGTATTGGGGAAACTGCTACCTCAGCAATAATGGGCATCCAGTAACAAAGAGGAGGACAACCAATCATCCATCATTAAGAAAACAGGTGGAATAGCAAACTACCTGAACCAGAGAAACGTGGACCAATAGCAAGGTGGTCCACAACAGGAAGCCTTATACTTAGGTAAGGGTCTAAGCCTAAAATATACATAATCCTTAACATCAGGGAAGGAAGTCATGATAGACCTTGAATGCCCAGGAAAAAAAAAAGACCAAGCAACCAGACTACAGCTGGAGTCCAAAGTAGAGTTCCCTAAAACCTTACTTCAGGGAAAGAGAGGTTCATAATAAGCAAGATGTTACCTGCTAAACAAGAAGACATACATGTCAAAAGGAGATGTACATGAATATAAGAATATTCTCAGGAGGTAAAAGAAACTATAAGCTTAAGAAAATAAAAGGGTTGTAACGCTGAAAACTTTGAAAGGAGATAGTGTTTAAAAAACAAAAACAGGGGGCGCATGCGCGAGGCTGACCAAGATGGACGCTCACTGATCAGCTCCGCGCCGGAACGGGAGAGGTGACGACCTATTTTGCCTATCGCAGCCTTTAATCAGGACACTAACAGCTACCTTCGGAACCGGGCTCCCCCCGCCGTCAGCCTAATACCACCATGTCCTGCACTAGAAGTCGGGGTGGTAAGCTGAGCCAGTCAACGCTCCACGAGGCTTTGGGCCAAGCGGCCCACAAGATGGCGCCGGCGATGTCACAGAAAAACGAGGATTCCCATTCCTCTAGTGAACCTCCCGATCCCCTGGAAGACAGCTCGCAGACCAGCCAAGCAGACCCGGAGGTCACTCCTTCCCTGCTGGCCCAATTTGAAACCACCCTGCATAAGGCTTTGGATAAGGTATCGAAATAGATTACCTCTCAGCTTATAAAAGAGATTAGGGATGTGGGCAGACGCACTACCACGCTTGAATCCCGCTGCAATGACATTACTACCATAGTGGAAGGGCATGAAGATGACCTGGAACGGCTGCGTAATCTCAACTTATCGCTCCTAGCACAACTGGAAGACTCTGAAAACCGGGACCGCAGACTGAACCTGCGTATAAGAGGAGTCCCGGAGTCGGTTCTGGACCTGCAATCAACGATCACTGCGTTGTTCCAGGAATTGGCCCCTGAAATCCCCATGGAGAGGTTGGAGTTCGATGGGATCCACAGGGCACTCTCACGGCGCACACCGGAGGGCCCTCCCCGGGATATTATTGTTCGTCTTCACTTCTACCGCACTAAGGAACGAATACACCAAGCAGCCAGAGAGGCCGGGATACTACAATTCCAGGGGTTCCGATACCAGATCTTCTCTGACCTTTCACCAGCTACGATAGCTAGACGGCGAGAGTTCCGACCTCTGCTCCAGGTGCTACAAGCCAAAAAGATCAGGTACCGTTGGGGCTTCCCCTTTAAACTGCAATTCTTCTATGATGGCAGAACCTATACCTGCAACACTGTGGATGAAATGCGGGAATGCATGGACTCCTTGCACCTACTGGGACGTACAGATGCGGCCGCAGAACACTGTCCCCCCACATCGACACAACGCTCCGGGAGAGACCTACCCGCCCCCCGGCCAACTTACCTGCACCACCTTCGACCTCTAGGATGGCGCCTGACTCCCCAAGGCCCGCTGATTCCTTCGGATGACTGCCCAAGCTGGATTTTTCACCTTTTCACCAGTTGTTGAGCTTGGTTTCCCCATTTACAGTTGTTGACGCAGCTCACGTCATCTCGTACAGGTGTGGGTCCCCGTTTGTTGGACTGCCTATTGTCCACACCGTACCATCACCACCCCACGAACTGGGACTACTATAGATATTTCTATGGCAGATCCTGGTCTCCTCTGAATTCCTTGTTCCTGTGATCCTTTGCTGTTTTGTGGTTTCACTATTGGACTCTTTTGGAGGTGGCTTGCCCTACGGATCCTATGGCCTCAGTGTGGGTCCCATAATGCTACATCAAACCGGGGGCGCAAAGTTCATCCCAGTCTACTTGCCTTGTTTATGTTTTATATGTTTTTTTTTTTTTTAGTTCATCTAGATCTCCTTGTAACTACCGACGCCACCATAGCTGTCGCATTATAATGACCCCCGGGTCTGTCAGTCACTTACCTTAAGGCTATGTGTTTATTGCATTTAGCAGGTCTGCCTCCCGTTCTGGTACCCTCCATGCACCCTACCCTTCACTACCTTGGACAGGGCATTTGCCCAGATCCCTGTTGAGTGAACGATACCCTTCTTTGATACCCTTCTTTGCTGGTTCAGAGACTGTTTCCGGCCTTTTGAGTGTCCTCAAACCCTGGTTCTTGTCTACAGTCTTGTTCTTCTTCCCCCCCTGCATACACTATTATAACCTTGTCTCTCTCTCTTCTGTGTCCTCTCCTCCCCTCCTCCTTACACCCCTGACCTAGGTCTTCCATTCACATGGCCCTGAAGATAGCTTCCCTCAATGTTAAAGGGTTCAATCAACCTAACAAACGAGTAAAAGCCTTTAGACACTTCAAACAAATTAACGCTGATATTGTCTGCCTCCAAGAGACACATTTTCCCCAATCGTATAATCCGGCATTCCTGCATTCTAATTATCCCCTTTTTTTTTTTAGCCTCTGCACCCACTAAACATCGAGGAGTCTTGATAGCGTTTGGTCGTTCTGCTCCCTTCGTCAGTCAGAAGGTCATCAGAGATCCGGAGGGCAGGTATTTGATCTTGGTCGGCTCAATCCACGATTCACTGGTTACTGTGGTCTCCTACTATGCCCCTAATACTAGTCAGCTGGGATTTTTTTCCCACCTGCTTCAAGTGGTTGACTTGCATGCTAAGGGGACAGTGTTGTTATGCGGGGACTCCAACCTTGCGATACACCCTCATGTTGACCGACATGACCCCAACCACACGGCAACTCCACCCACAGATATCTCTATAGCTAGGGGATTTCGGGTCCTCCTGACACAATATCACTTGGTGGATTCCTGGAGGGAGCTCCATCCGCTAACTGAACAGTTTACAATTCTATTCCAATCCCCATAATGTTTTTTCCCGTATAGATCATATACTGATACGGAATATAGCACTGCCTCAAGTGTCCTCAGCCACTATCAGCCCAATAGCGTGGTCGGATCACGATCTGGTCCACATCAATATCAATCTTGTTCTCCCCCTCAGGACTGGCTTCACTTGGTCACTACAGGACTCCTTGCTCACCGACCCAGTTACTATGGCCTCGGCCCAAGATTCACTGGCTGAATATTTTGATTTGAATATGGACTCTGTGTCCTCCCCTCTCACGGTCTGGGAAGCACATAAACCCACCATTAGGGGTAAGTTGATTGAACTAGCCTCTCAAGCTAAAAAAAGAGAGGACAGCCCGTATTGACCAACTCGAATCGGACCTTCAATCTGCTTCTCAAGTTTTCCAGCAGACCCCCACTCTGGAAAATAGGTCCCGCTTATTTCATATTAGAACAGAGCTGAACCTGTGCCTCACACACCTTGCGAATG